CAAATAGGATAAGGGAGGAATAGATTACTCTAAACTCTTTATTGACACAACCATGGCACAAACCCAAATTCTCTGGTAATCCCCCATTTGCCCTATACTATGGTTCCTCTGTGAATGGAACATCTGACTCTCCAGGCTAGGGCACACATACACAACGAATAAATGTCCCAAATTTAGGCTTTGTCCATGCCAGCCATTCTGACAAACTGAGTCAAACTAGCTGACTCTGCAAACTCCAGCCCCTGCAAAAGGAAGCAAACAGCAGCAAGCAAGGCTTCTTTTCCATAGCATAAAGTAATCTTGCATCTGATCAGAATGGACAAGAACTGAGAAACAGTTTATAAGGACAGAAGAGTTCATAGGGTTTCTGAGAAAGTGTAGGAGGAGCATAAAGGATGCGTGGAGAAATGCACACCACCTCACATCTTCAGATGGGAGAAACTAAGATCTCACATATTTTGGGTAGGTAATTGGGACACACAGAGAAAATTGAATAGGCACAAGGAACTTCTGTCGTCTGGTGGGTTGGAAACAGTTTTGGTAAATGGCAAAGTATATGAAGGGTCTGGCATGCAGAGTCACTGAATTTAAGACAAAGAGAGAAATATGGGCTAGAATGCAGGATCCTTGGAGTGAGACTGAATGACAGAAGGAAGTGGAGAGAAGAGAGTTGGATGTGAAAATGAAAGCTCTGAGATGTGACATGGAGTCTTCACAGACACAGGGGGAACAGGGTAAACTAGAGCAGACAGGTCAGAATAGGAGTCTTTCTTGTCCTGTAATGAGCACTGGGCACCCAAAGGCTGTCAAAAGTGCTGCTTTGTAGTGTCGAGGGTAGAACATTGGTCACATATCTTCTGATACCTACAGGATAGGAATCCAGATATAAGCTAGCCTTTTGGACTTCGTTAGAGCCAGTGGTGAGAAACAGGCACTCCCAGAGCATAGTCCTAGGGTAGGTATCAAGACTAGGACAAATTGATCACGCCCTGCAGCTGCCATTTCCTCAACCTTGACTTCAACAGGAGCACGCAACAAGTTCATGTGCTGAGAGCTGAGGTCAAGCGAGGTGGAGTCCAATATATATATCTGGAAGATATTGCAGGTGGGATCCAGGTTCCTAAACAGAAATGCCTAAAGCTTGCCATCTGACTTCCAGCTGCCATACCTCAAGGGCATGTGTCACCCATAAATCATGTATGAGACTTGCCAACCCAGTGTAAATGTCTTGGGTATTTTAGGACATCTGAAATTACTTTGAACGTTTACTTTTTGAAGGACAGTCCCACTTTTGTGATTGAGCTAATCATCAAGGTCTGCTTAGAACCAGCAACAAAAACTCAGAGGATAACCAAGATCATCTTAACTCAGGTGTAGAATGAAGTGCCTATGACTGTATAAGTGAAATGAACCGCAGTATGCATATCCCAGGTCCTCTCTGAATGTAAAGTCCAGGGCATACTCCCCTGCAGCATGTGATGAAGAGCTCAGTGGGCCTCATAACATCTTGTCTTTTCTCATTCTTCACATTGCTTGTCTCATGGTATTGGAGAGAAATTCAAGAAACTAGGCATTCTTTTTCTTGCTGAAATATGCTTTTTTTTTTCTCAGATTGCCTCTGTTTGCCCTGAAACAGACATGCCTGCAAAGTAAAGAATGTGCAATATGTTCTGTTTCCCTTTGGCTAACACAGGAGTAGCACAATGAACAGTACTACATCATAAAATACTCTACAGGACAGCAGGATGGCTATGATGTAGTCGCCATTACAGAAACATGGTGGGATGCCTCCCATGACTGGAGTGCTGCGATGGATGGCTACAAACTCTTCAGAAGGGACAGGCAAGGAAGGAGAAGCAGCAGGGTGGCTCTGTATGTTAGGGAGCGTTTTGATTGTACAGAGCTTGATGCTTGTGGTGAGGCAGAATGCTTATGGGTGAGGATGAGGGGGGAGGACAACAGAAAAGATATCCTGTTGGGAGTCTGTTACAGACCACCCGACCAGGATGAGGATGTTGA